GCTGTGTAGTCTGACAGCGATCCCAAGCAAAAACATGGAAAGGTTGGTATGTACACTTGAGTTGCCAGACCTGCACTTGAGCCCAAAGAGTTGCTTGCCCACTTGTTGAGGCCGTCCCTGATCTTTTAGAATTCTCTGACTTGAGCGACTAGAAAGGGCATCTTAGTGAGCAGAGACACTCTTCGATACCTTCTCTATCCGTAACCATCTGAAAAGCTTCACCAATGCAGTTGTGCTGAGTGGGTGGTGCTGGATGCTCTGGAGACATAAGAATTTGTAGAACACAGTGGAGGGAAATAGGAGTAATGCACATGAGCCGCACTGCTTCTCTCAGTGCTGAAGGTGTGTGTGTGTGTGTGTGTGTGTGTGTGTGTGTGTGTGTGTGTGTGTTTTTAAAGCTACTGGAAGTTAGCATCAGACTCTAATGTAATTGTGAGCTGATCAGCTCGCCCTCAAAAAATTAAAATGCCCATTTGGCAAGACAATCACAAAGGATTCCCCTTCGGCATTTCACTCTCTCATTGTCTGAATAGTGATAAATCAGAGATTGTTTTCTTTGCATTGTATATTGGATTGCCATTGTGCAAAGGTCTTTTTAATTTTCCATTTCTCCAGCAAGATCTATCATGCGTCTCTGAGCCGGGCTGTGATTATTTTCTTATTATCTCTTTCTGCCCTTTACACTCTTGCATTGCTTTTTATTATTATTATTATTGCAAGCTGTTTGTTCATCTACACTGGCAACAGCAACTGTCCAAATGATGCATTGGCTTTTTTAGTGGCTTTACCTGTGTCTCTTCTCAAGACCCTGATGCTGTTGTCTCCTGTATCACCCTCCCCACAGGAACGTGACTGAATACAGTGCATTCGGAGAACATAGGGTATATCTACACTACATTGTAAACCCAGGTCTGTCCAGGCTTGTGGACTTGGTGTTTCCAAGCCCAAACGTGCTGAGTTGTAAACCTGGTTTACAACTGTTTGACCTGAGTCTCAGCTGTGCTAAAGCATCCATATTGCACTATGCAGACCTTGTGACTTGGGTCTGTGGCTTGAGCTGCATCCACACTGCAAAACGACAGGGCTTGGATCTGAATTACAGCAGGACTCCGGCTCCGACCACCCCCAGTAGGTCGTAGGACCTGGGACCTGAGCGCTTCTTATCCGAGTCTGACTGATTTGTGTGTGGACGGAAGTGGAGCTTGGGCTCAAATAGGAGTCAGAGCCTGGGCTTAGTGTGCAGTGTAGATGTATTCATAGACTCCCCCTTGCTCAGCCAAACCTCAGCTGCTTTTTAACCAGGATTCACATTTAGGCCTCCTTTAGAGATTTAAAAGTGAGAAGTTTTATCGTGGCTTTGGTCGGGCTAGTTTTCAGATGCAGAAGAAATATTCTGCGTCCTTCAGTTTTTATCCCCGGAAGTTTTTATTATCCTCCTTGACAGTGCAGAAAAAAATCTGTATGTGCATACTTTTTTTTAGAGCTTCTTTGTTGCATATGCTAAATCTCTGAAACTAAAAATCTCTTGGTCCCAGTCTCACTTTTAATAGGATAGCAAACTAAGAGGATACATAAAGATTATTCTAATTCCACTCTGAAGCTCTCTGAAGCACTGCTGCATGCCTGGGAGCCATTCTGTAACTGCCTTCTCCAGCCTCTCTAGAAAAGAGGTGCTTATCTTGATTTACTAAGTAATGAGAGGAAAGTAAAAGACTGAAATGTCAAGCCTTAGAAAAAATGGGATTAGCTCACTGATTGAGAACAAAAATATTTGGATAGATCAGAGCCATCCTCAGGCTGTTTCTCTCTCCCAGCCTTCCCGCACCCCTTATTTCCCAAAGTAAATTTTAAATACAGAGAGCAACAGCTATTCCAAAGTGTTTACAGTCTGCTCCGGGTGTGCGTTTGGTTTCCCATTTTCTTTTCTTTGGTGTGTGCATGTTCAGAGACCAAATTGGTGGGGAATTTATAGTCCCCTCTCATGACACTGTATCTCACTTTAGCTCTGTATGAATTAAAGGAGGGAGCATGGGGGTATGTGTTAAATGTGGGGATGTGTGGGGAGGGAGGGATTTATCCATGGTGGGATTCCTGCTTCCCCCTGGGTACCTGCTAAACCAGCCCTGCAAGAGATGATTTGCATCCCTGGCTCATTCAGAGTGAAATTCACCCCTGTTCAGAGGGGCAGGATAAGGCCTGTGTACCACTAAACTCACACTTACATTCTCAAATAGACCTTAATTGGGGCTTGGCTGCTGCAGAGATCTTGTACTAAGGCTTAGAGGTTAAAAAAAAAAAAATCAATCTAGGTACTTAACTGGCCCTTCATGGCTGTTGTATCTGAGCACCTCACAATCAGTAATGGACTTTATTCCCACAATATCTCTGGGAAGCAGGGAAGTATTTTACAGGTGGAGAATTGAGGAAACTAAGTGACTAGATCACACAGGAAGTCGCTGGCTGAACTGGGAATTGAACTGAGGTCTCAAGTGCCAGTACATGCCCTAGCTACCAACTATCCTTACTACCCCTTTCATGCAAAGAGACTTCTGAAAATCAATATAGTTTGCTGTTGCACTACATTGCACCTAGTGGAATGGATTTTCAGAAACGTTTCCAGAAGATGGGATGTTCCCAGAACTTCCCTAATAGATGTTTCCTCCCTTCTCTGCAAGTTGCCAGACACTGACTTTTCACACTTAAAGCTAAAAGCATTGGTAAACTGAATGAACAATAAATGCACGTAGACCCTACAACATTTTTTATAAACAATTTTCTCTTTATTTGCAGAATAATATATTTCCTATCCACAGTAAAAGAAAGGTGACAGAGGTGCAGTAAATGATTTACTTTATTACACCTTTTATTCAGACTGACTTAGAACAATTATTGGGTTGGCTGTTAACTTCCCACAACAAATAGTAAAGATAATGGAATGATAAATTAAAAATATAGGCCACAGAGAGAGAGAGAGAGAGAGGTATAAAAAAATAAAATGTTAATACGTCAAAATATAAAATTACATACAAATCAAGTAATGACTGATAGCTTAAGACTTCAGTGTTTTTATTATAGTGGTTGTATACTTTTTTAATTAAAAACTAACAACGCTTTGAAGACATGAAACATGAAAGCCACGACATTTTAAATCAAAATGGAATTTCTTCAAAAACTCACACAGCTAGAATGCACAGCTAGACAAAAGAACAGAATCTGAGGATTAACTGTCCCTACTTGAAGGCTGAGAGTCATTGTGAGAAAAGTGCTGTGACTTGAACTGCTGCAAAGCAGCTCCATTTGGTTCTTGCTGTGCTTTGTGATTTATAAATAGTCAGTGTGGGCCATGTTTGGCTCACACGTGCTGCAGAGTCAACAATGACAAAGCTCTGCCTTCTCCCCATGGTGGTACTCATGTGAGTAACTGCTAACCAAAGTGAGCATGATGTTCACACTCTGGGCCTGTGTGCGTTGTTATATATGCAGGGTGAACTCATCTTGGATTAGTAAAACCATGAACTGTCATTTCTGGCAGTTGGTGAGCCTTGGCTCTGTTAGATGTTAGCCCACATTTAGGCCCAACAGCATTATAACTTGGTAATCATGCCAGTTTTATGGCCATATTCTACCATCAGTTTTTACCCAGAATTGTCACTAACTTTAAGGAGGGTAGGCTGAATTTCATCACTGTGCAGAATAAGCTCTCTCCCCACCCCCCATTAAGTGGGATTTAAGTGGTACATAGGCTGTGGGCTGGCCCTATGCATAAGGGTGAATTTCACCCTGTTAGCACAACAATAGCAGCATACAGTCTGCACTTGGTCTGCCTATGGCTAGTAACTAAGGCTTTGTTCATCCACTTCTATGGGTGTTTGCAGAAAGTGCAGTGGAGAGGCAATGTGCAGGAACTCTCCAAGGATAGCTTGGAGAGGGCGAGCAGGTAGGTTGAAGGAAGAGAAACAGAAGCAGCAGCAGCAGGAGCCCTCCATTGGAGGCTGTGGATGAGTAAGGGAAAGGCTGCAAGGGGAGAAAGGAGAATTGAAGCCCATGCAAGGCACTGACCCAGGACTCTTCCTCACAACACAGATTCTGATCTAAAGATAAAAGCCAACCATGTTTTGAATTACAGGGCTGTAATCCATCCTGAAGATCTGATGACTACACAAACCACTGGAACTTGACTCTCATGGTTTGTCAGTTTTACCTCCCTGGATGAAATTATAACCCTGCTGTAAATCTCAGCTGCCTGGTGCTTTTTATATATATATTTAACATTTTGAGGTAGAAATTTTAACTCTAGTCTTTAAGTACACAAAGAAGAATGAGCACAGTTTTAAAGGTCTATCTGGCTAGTAGTCCAGGGATTTAATGTCTGAGAAACCACATGCTTTATTTGTAAACCCAGCAACTCTAATGGCACAAACGTAAATTATTATTTTTAAAAAGTCCATTTTTCAAAAATGAGGTACAATCTACTGTTGTGAATAATTGGCTTGAGCTAGTGATTTAAAGATTGAATTACATTGAATTGAGTTTTTAAGGAGCTGTTTTATTTATTTATTTTTAATTTCCCCCTTCATAGTCTCTGCAGCAAATAGCAGAAATAGGATTCCAAATGAAAATGTGATAACCTCAGTTTATTTTAGCATCCAAGTAAGAATGTTTTGATTTAGGAGTACACAATTTACTAATTGTTTGAATACTGCACCATTGTAAAATCACCAATATTTAGCTGGTTTTAGTTCCATTCCTTTTATTTTTTCCTGTAGCAAATAAAGAGATTAAACAGATAATATAACTTTATCAAACATACGTATGTATATACACATCCAAAAACCTTTCATTTTTATGACAATATAGGGCAGGTTAAAGAAGTAAGCATAGTATTAAGAAAAAATACTTAATGTTCATACATTATTCAAATATAAAGACCACAAATCAGCAGGTTATCACTTTAAATATTCGGAGCTTTTGGTATTAATATGCATTTGCTATACAATGTAAATGGTTGAAAAGCTATTGTTCTCTAGTCTGATGTTAATTTTCTCTGCTTTGTTGAATGCCACTGGGTAAATGTAGCCCTAATTTAAGTTAGAAGAATTTGGTTATTTTGAATTCTATCCTAGTGGTCTTACATTTTGTAGGAATCTGAAAATAACTTGGGTGTAAGAAAGATGTTACAAAGACAAAAAATTACTTATTCCCTCAGCTGTCTCTCAGCAATACTGAAGAATACTGCCTTTAACGTGACATGCTGAAGGAGAAAAAGATTGAAGAATGCACGAGTAAGGACGTTGTTTATAACAAGTTAGAAAAATCTCACTCTGACATTAAAGGAGACTCTGCTGAATCACTTGAAATGTATCAGTTTGTAATCGACACAATTACAGGAGCTGCTCTGCTCTGAACGCTGGTTTCCAGTCTGTGCCAGAACATGGGAAGCTGTGTAGAACACTTCTGTTGATAAACCTCCAGGCTCCATTTCTCCATAATTGATTTAGTTGTTGTTAGTTATGCAGGGAGAGAAGAGATCCTCAAGGCTTGGTAAGACAGTATTCAGTTACTAAAAGCAACCCTTTGTGAATTAACATTAAAACACCAGACCCCCCTCAATATTATTCCTTTAAGTCTTGTTTTCCTGGACACCAGCTGTCACAGAGGAAGTCTCCAGCCTCAGCTTCTCCTGCCTCCTTATCCGGCTGGAGCTGCATCAGCATGGCCTGCAGAGTTTCCTTCACCATCTGGATCTCCCTCTGTAGAGACTGTACATGCTTTATTAAGGAATAAACCTAAAGGTGATTGGCAGCCCCTTTTCTCTCTCCAAGTTATGAAATAAATTGTTGTTCTGCTGTTCACAACAGATGGGCATTGCTATCTAATTGTGGCTTCAAGTTCTTCCAAACTGTTTGGATTAAATATTCATATTTCACATTAATTAACTAATTAATTAATTAGGATTTCCAGTAACTTTGAAGTCCTCAAGTGGCATTACTTAGCGGTTCTCTTATAAGGGTTAGAAAAGAACTCGGTTGGAGGGTTTGTTTGGTTTTTTTTGGAGGGGGGGAGGGGAGAGGAAGGTGTAGATCAATATAGAGGTTGTCTATTCTGATGCCCAAAAACACTATTGCAGTCAATCTCCAATTGGAATAACCTGAAATCTCAGCACAGTTATTAATGGATATCAAAAGAGCTCCTGCTATTAATGTAGCAACCCCTGAGCTCCTGAACAGTAATTCTCACTAATATAAGACCAAATACTATCTTTGGATTCACATGCATTGTGCTGCCTGAACTCAATGGGAGCCACACACTTGCACATGAGTTCTCCCCAGCACTTTATACATAGGAAATAGGATAATTTTCAGGTAATTCTCCCTTCTTTGAAGGGATAAGTCCACAGAGCCTCAGTATGGGTCATCACTAAGGCTAAGATTTTGTCATGGTTATTTTTAGTAAAAGTCATGGACAGGTCACGGGCAATAAACAAAGATTCACGGACGCCGTGACCTGTCTCTGACTTTTGCTGCCGCAGATCCATGGTTTCCCCCCGCCGTCATGGTGACTGAGAGCTGTGGAGTTCCCCCTCTTCCCACAGAAGCTGCAGGGGGGCCCCTCCACCCATGGTGGCTGGGAGCTGCAGGGTGACCATATTTCCCAAAGAGAAAATGGGACACCCTCAGCCGCTCGCCTGAGGAGCGTTTCCCCCCATTCCCCGTGAGGCTGTCACCCATTGCTAGAACCCTGAGGAGGGCCCCCTCAGGAGTCTGTCACCTTATGCTGGAACCTTGCCAGGACCTCTGTGACATAAACATAGCCTTAGTCATCACTAGTTTGTAGTCAGAGGGGGCAGAACTTGCTCCATCTTCCAAAGCTAAGCCCTCTGGATTGTGAAACAAAAAAGGAGTCTCTCATCCTGCATCAGTACCTTGCAAAAAAAATACTTGACAAGAAACATGAACAAGAAGAAAGATTTTAACTTCTGCAGAGAACTTTAACCACAAGTTTGACAGATTTCTCTTAATGGATTTCGAGGGGAAGGCCGGCTCTGTGGACCTATCTCTTTCAAGAAGGGAACATTTTCAGGTAAGCAACCACAAATTCTCCCATTCTCTCTCCAGTCAAGGTCCACAGATCCTCAATGTAGGATTTTCTGAACAGTGACAAAATTCCTAGGGTGGGAACAAAATGTCACTCATAGAAAGGATTCTCTTACTCTAAGGAATCACTACACCATGCAGGCCCTACCTGCCTATGGTTGCATCAGCTGAAGACTGAGTATCTGTATTGTAAAACTTGGTAAATGTATGCAGGAATGACCAAGCTGCAGTTTTAGATTGCCTGAGAAGGGGCCTGCACTTTCTCAACCCATGATGCCACCTCCACTTGTACTGAGTGAGCTCTTGTTTCCATTGGAGGATTGAGACCTTTTGCTCTATACACACCAGCGTATACACTGTGAGATTGATGATCTAGATGCTTTAGCTCCTCTTTTCCTTGGATGAAATAAGACCAGGAAGGCTGGTCTTAAGCTCTCAGTTCTTTTCAGATATGCCTTTAAGGCTTGCTTGCATCCAACAAATACCATAGTTTCTCCTTTGGGTGAGAAGGATGTGGACAAAAGGAAAGCAATGAAAAATGCTTAATTGTGCTCATTATGCTCAATGAAAAATAAAATTTACTTTTGGAATAAAGGTGGGAGCCATTCACAAAACCACTTTATCTTTGTGGAAGATGCAGAAGGATGGATCAGTTGATAGAGCTCCCAACTTGGACACCCTTCTGGGCAAGCTGGTAGGGATGAAAAAGGTTAATTTGATAGCCAGGTAGTGCAATGAAACTGATTTAATAAGTTCAACGTGCACCTGCACTAAGGCATTGAGCACAATGTTCAGATCCCAAGGCAGTGCTCTCTGCACCAGAAGGACCCAATAGCTGAACTGCTTTAATGAAGCGACACACGTTGTTATGGTGGAACACAGAAGACCTTCTAGATACACTCAAAATTGTCGACAGTGCAGAAATGTGTACTTTTAAGGTATTAGCCTGCAACCTGACATAAAAACTGCCATGTAAAAATTCCAGAACATAAGACATTTTGGTTAAATGATGCTGAATATGTCTCCTACTGTGTGTATTTAGCCAAATCCTTGAATAAGACCTGTTTTTTTTTACTTTCTCCTAGATGCCAACAGAGTTTTGACAAGACCAGCAAACCTTTCATTTTAGAAACTTCCTTTCAAATGCCAAGCTGCTAGATTTGACTTGCTTGGATCTTGGTGAAGAACTGGTTCCTGAGATAACAAATCTGGTCTCGGATTCAGGAAAAATGGTAACTCCCACTGACATGTCCACCAGGTCAGGAAACCAAAGCCTTCCAGGCCAATGAGGAGCCACTAAGATCACACCCATTTCCTCCTTTCTAATCGTCTGTATTACCCTGGTGGTGATGGGCACTAGGGGAAAGGCATGTATGCCCAGGGCTTCTGGCTCTCTTCTCCTGGCAAAGTATTGGAAAGCCTTCCAGAATTGGAATTTTGAAAATTTTGGTATTCAATTGGAAGGATTTGTTGTGAAGACTCCATTATGCCTAACTGATTTTCCTTCTGCTCAGCCAGTCAACATTTTTATTGCTGGTGCCCTTGATGTGCAAGGTGATGATAGACAGCAGATGGGCCTTCACTGACTGCATCAATGATACTGCTGCTTTCTGTAGATCCCTTAACCTCATACTGCCCAAAGGCTTACATATGCCATTACTGGTAGACTGTCCATTATTATAAGGATATGACTGCTCAGCAATGCTGAGGCCAGATGTTGAAGAGAGTACTTTATTGCCACCAGTGCTAGAAAATTTATGCTTTTCTTTTGTTTTTTTTGAAAAAGGACCATGTTCCTTAAGTCACACATTTCTAGGAGAATACTCCTCATCCTTCCAGACTTGCATCTGTTATGACAGACCTGTCTGGTTCTGCCATGTTCATCTCTCCCTGGAACCTCTCCAGACTCATCCAGCAATCCAGGGAATTCAGAACAAGTGACAAAATGGTCACTTTCTGAGATGGAAAAATCAGAGAACAAGGGAATCAACAGAGAACAAGGGAATCCAAGGGAAGCCCTGGAGAGTCTTCATATGCATACTTGCTCAGAGCACTATCCCTATGCAGGACACGATCACCCCTAGAACACTCATTAGAGTGCTGACTGATGTCCTTGGGCATCTCCTCAGGAGGGTAATTGCTGATCTAATCTTGTCCTATCTTTCGGCTGACAGAAACATTTTGTGGGCCTCTGCATCTAGATAAACTAAGCACTGAGATGGCTGAAAATGAACCTTTTTGGAATGTACTATAAATCCATGCTGTTGCAACATATGAATTGTGGTTCAAGTTACTCAAGTGGACTCCTCCTTGGATGGGGCTCTTACTTAAATGTCACCCAGGAAAGGGTACATCTGTATCTACTACTGCCTGTGAACAGCCACCAAAATGAGTAATTTTGTGATGATAGTCTGAAAAGCAGCAATTTGTATTGAAAATGATTGGCCTCATGAGTAAGTTACAAAACTCCCCTGTGCCCCGATGAACTGGCACATGAAGGTAGGCCTCCCTCAAGTCGACTGATGTAAGGTAATCATCCTGGCAGATCACTCCCACTATTGACTTCAAAGTGTCCATCTTGAACCTGGGCCTCCTTATGAACTTGTTCAGGCGCTTTTAATGCAACACAGCTCTGTCCTCCCCAGATCTCTTGGGTACCAGAAATAAGAATGAATATTGGCAGGAGAACATCACTGCCTCGGTGGCTCTCTTTGTCACAATGATTCGCAAAAGAGGATCTATAGCCTTTGGTATATTCTGCCACTTTTGAGGGATTTGAGAGTAGTGGAGAAGGGAGAAAATTATTTGGAATCTTCTGACACACTTTTCTTGAACAACATCCGGGGCCTATCTGTCTGATGTTGAGAGGCCATTGGTCCTTGAATTTTAATAGCTATCCCACCCCCAGTTGTTGCTTACTGGACCCACCTGACCACAGTCAGGAGTTGTTCTAGTGTTGGAATTGCACTATGGGAAAAGTGCTCTCTCCCCTTCCTGGCCTTAAACTTGTTCCATCTGACTTTGTGTAGCCTCACCTTCTGTATTTAGGGGATTAGCCATGAAAAGGATACTTAAGCCTGTTATAGAGCTGGCTATTCCTTTTCCTGCATTTGTAATCAGGAAGTCCTGAAGGTCTTTTTGATTTAGCTGAGGACCCTGTCATGACTTTATCTAATGGCTCCCCGAATTGCTAAGCTGCTAATATGGTTTTGGCCTATCCCTGAACTCCTTAGTAAGCCAGGAAGAGCTACATAACAGCTGCATGGCGCAGCCCTTTGTCTCAATGGATCCCTTGTGGTACATGCACACTGCAAAAAAACGAACAAAACAAACCCCCTGGCAGAGAGTTTGAGCATGGGTCAACTGACTCAGGTTCACAGAGCTCATTCTCCAGGGCTAAAAATAGCAGTGTAGATGTTCCCACTCGGCTTGGTGTCAGGGCTCTGAGATCCTCCCCCTTTGCCAGGTTTCAGAGCCTAGGCTTCAGTTCAAGTGGGAATGTCTACACTGCTATTTTTAGCCCTGTAGCGCGGGCCCAAGTCAGTTGACCCAGGCTTTAAGACTCTCTTCCATGGCGTGGTTTGTTGTGTTTTTTCTCCCAGTGTAGACATAACCTTAGTGAGCCAGGCATAGCTACCTAACAGCTGCATAGTGCGGGTCTTTGTCT